TAAAAATTGTATAAAAAGTACTTTTTCTTAAAATGTTCAAAAAAGTACTTTTTGGCCGTTATCAAAATTTTAAGTTATTTTTGCGAATTTATTGTAATTTTTTGCCATTTTAACATAAAAGTTCAAAAAATTTTGTAAAAAAGTACTTTTTGTTAAAAATTTTGCAAAAAGTACTTTCCGTTAAATATTCAAATTAATTTTCAGTAAATTTGTGTCTATTAAGTTAAAAGTTTTGTCATTTTAATGTGAAATTACTGAAAATTTTTAAAAAGTACTTTTTTCGGGCAATTTTAAAAAAGTACTTTTTTAACAAAATTTATAATTTTTGCTGTTTTAAACTAGTTTTTACTCTTTTTATGTTAAGATATAAAAAAATTGTAGTAAAAGTACTTTTTGTTAAAATTTTCTTAAAAGTCCTTTTTGACAAAATGTCCAAAAATTACTTTTTTTTTTAAAAGTACCTTTTTAAAAAAATTTATAATTATTCACGAATTTTTTTCAAAAAAGTTTTGAAAAAAGTACTTTTTTTTTATAAAATTTTTAAAAAAGTACTTTTTTTGTTCAAAATTAAAATTATAAATTTCAACCATTTGTTATGAATTTAAACTAATTATTTGTTACTGCTGGCAAAAAATTTTGAAAAAAGTACTTTTTTAAATAAATTAAAATGTTTTTATGTTTTTAAAATTTAAAAAAATTCTAAATTTTCTTTTAGTTTAGTATTTCATAGTGAAAATATACAGAATTTTACAAAACGTTCATTAAAAAAGTACTTTTTTTAAAATGTACTAAAAAAGTACTTTTTTGTTGTTTACAAAATTTCTTATAATTCATTGTTTTTTATAGTTTTAAATTAAATTTCTGCTTTAAAATGTGTTTTATAACTAGAAAAAGTACTATTTTTTTCAATTTCAAGCTTTTTCTTTCATTTCCTTGCTTTCACATATTGAAATAAATTTCTTTTACTCACACGTTTCAAATAACAAATATAAAATAATAATAGAAATAGAAAAAAAAAACGAAAAAAAAAACTATTTCAATTTCTTTGCTTTAAAATTGATGACCAAAGTGATTGATATTGTTAAACTGCTGCTGCTTCTGCTGTTGTTCAATCTTTATTTCTTGCGACCTCCTTACTATAACATGAGCAATGAGGCCAAAAGGACACAACGTTGAAAATCATTTCCCTCCAAATATCCAAGGCCAACAATAGCAACTATGTTCGTACATTTGTTCCATCATTGCAGTGAAAAAGGTACCAAGTCAATGTATGTCGTATTTGTCGTTTGGTTGTTTATTAAAGAATGCAATCCAGTTAGATTCAATCTGATGCACTAATTCCTTAACATTCTTAAGCATTGAGAGCTAGAACATAAAATATTGTCGGCAATAAATTGTATTGAATAGTGAAAAGAAATTTGACTAAATCACGACATGCTGGTAGAACAGAAAAAAAATCCCTTTTTTAGGTACTATTTTTTTTAGCACCCTTGCTCGAGTTGGAGTGCCAACATGAACCACTCACTACCCACCCACACATTTAACAGCAAATAAAAGAATTTTAACATTTGTACTCAATTACAGTCAATGCGCTCTTTACATGGATGGTATCTTTGGAAATTGCTGGGGCATACATACATGTTCAATGTTCGAATGTTTCTGTTTGTACTATGTCAACATTTGGTTCGGTGTGTTGGGTGCAAATTTCAAATCAATTGATTTTCCGTTTTTTTTTTTTTCGTTAGAAAATTAAAAGCAAAAATCAACGATTTATTGCCAGCCAGCATTAGTTTTCGTAGTAACATTGTCATCAGCAGCAACTCTGGCAAATATTTGTCCTTGTTAGAGTATAATTTTTTTAAAGCTTTCTTTGAATTTGTTCACAGTTTTGTTTTTTTATTCCTTTTGAACTAAAATAGGGTTTGGCAAAGGAACACATATAATTTTTCCAATTAGAACAGAACTAGAATTGAACTAGAACAGAACTAGAACAGAACTAGAACAGAACTAGAACAGAACTAGAACAGAACCAGAACAGAACTAGAACAGAACTAGAACAGAACTAGAACAGAACTAGAACAGAACTAGAACAGAACTAGAACAGAACTAGAACAGAACTAGAACAGAACTAGAACAGAACTAGAACAGAACAGAACTAGAACAGAACTAGAACAGAACTAGAACAGAACTAGAACTAGAACAGAACTAGAACAGAACTAGAACAGAACTAACTAGAACAGAACTAGAACAGAACTAGAACAGAACTAGATCAGAACTAGAACAGAACTAGAAGAACTAGAAAGAACTAGAACAGAACTAGAACAGAACTGAACAGAACTAGAACAGAACTAGAACAGAACTAGAACAGAACTAGAACAGAACTAGAACAGAACTATAACAGAACTAGAACTAGAACAGAACTAGAACGAACTAGAACAGAACTAGAACAGAACAGCTAGAACAGAACTAGAACAGAACTAGAACAGAACTAGATCCAGAACTAGAACAGAACTAGAACTAGAACTAGAACAGAACTAGAACAGAACTAGAACAGAACTAGAACAGAACTAGAACAGAACTAGAACAGAACTAGAACAGAACTAGAACAGAACTAGAACAGAACTATAACAGAACTAGAACAGAACTAGAACAGAACTAGAACAGAACTAGAACAGAACTAGAACAGAACTAGAACAGAACTAGAACAGAACTAGAACAGAACTAGAACAGAACAGAACAGAACTAGAACAGAACTAGAACAGAACTAGAACAGAACTAGAACAGAACTAGAACAGAACTAGAACAGAAACTAGAACAGAACTAGAACAGAACTAGAACAGAACTAGAACAGAACTAGAACAGAACTAGAACAGAACTAGAACAGAACTAGAACAGAACTAGAACAGAACTAGAACAGAACTAGAACAGAACTAGAACAGAACTAGAACAGAACTAGAACAGAACTAGAACAGAACTAGAACAGAACTAGAACAGAACTAGAACAGAACTAGAACAGAAACAGAACTAGAACAGAACTAGAACAGAACTAGAACAGAACTAGAACAGAACTAGAACAGAACTAGAACAGAACTAGAACAGAACTAGAACAGAACTAGAACAGAACTAGAACAGAACTAGAACAGAACTAGAACAGAACTAGAACAGAACTAGAACGAACTAGAACAGCTAGAAACAAACTAGAACAGAACTAGAACAGAACTAGAACAGAACTAGAACAGAACTAGAACAGAACTAGAACAGAACTAGAACAGAACTAGAACAGAACTAGAACAGAACTAGAACAGAACTAGAACAGAACTAGAATAGAACTAGAACAGAACTAGAACAGAACTACAACAGAACTAGAACAGAACTAGAAGAGAACTAGAACAGAACTAGAACAGAACTAGAACAAACTAGAACAGAACTAGAACAGAACTAGAAGAGAACTATAACAGAACTATAACAGAACTATAACAGAACTATACAGAACTATAACAGAACTATAACAGAACTAGAACAGAACTAGAACAGAACTAGAACAGAACTAGAAGAGAACTAGAACAGAACTAGAACAGAACTAGAACAGAACTAGAACAGAACTAGAACAGAACTAGAACAGAACTAGAACAGAACTAGAATAGAACTAGAACAGAACTAGAACAGAACTACAACAGAACTAGAACAGAACTAGAAGAGAACTAGAACAGAACTAGAACAGAACTAGAACAGAACTTGAACAGAACTAGAACAGAACTAGAACAGAACTAGAACAGAACTAGAACAGAACTGGAACAGAACTAGAACAGAACTAGAAGAGAACTAGAAGAGAACTATAACAGAACTATAACAGAACTATAACAGAACTATAACAGAACTAGAACAGAACTAGAACAGAACTAGAACAGAACTAGAACAGAACTAGAACAGAACTAGAACAGAACTTGAACAGAACTAGAACAGAACTAGAACAGAACTAGAACAGAACTAGAACAGAACTAGAACAGAACAGAACTAGAACAGAACTAGAACAGATCTAGAACAGGACTAGAACAGAACTAGAACAGAACTAGAACAGAACTAGAACAGAACTAGAACAGAACTAGAACAGAACTAGAACAGAACTAGAACAGAACTAGAACAGAACTAGAACAGAACTAGAACAGAACTAGAACAGAACTAGAACAGAACTAGAAAAGAAGTAGAACAGAACTAGAACTGAACTATAACTAAGTTAAAACTAATCTTGACCTGGTACTCTATCAGAATTGAATCAAAACTGAACTAGACAGTTATGGAAAAGTGCGTTTAAAAATTTATCACTTTCGTCCCATAAAATTGCACAGTGTTCATAATTTATCAACATTTTTCTGAAATTCTTTTAATATTTTTATATAAAATTATGTTTCAATTGCATGCATTTGAAAAAAAATCTTTTAGATTTTTACAGTTTTGTTTTTTTTTTTAATAATATAAAATATTTATAACAACATTTAAAGCCATGGCAATTACACAAGATTTTGTTATTACATTTTAGGTGCCAATACAATTACTAATTACAAATGGATTCAATGCTAAATTAACAATGAATACACACAGAATTTAATACTAATTAAGTAATTAAATTAAAAATATCAAATTTTGAAAACAAATCCAAAATAAAATTTAAAACTTATTTTTAATGGAAATTATAAAAATAACTAAGGTGTTAAAGTTTTTTCTGTGGCAAAATTATTTAAAGCTTTTGTCTAAAATATAATTGTAACTAAGTTAGAAATTAATTAAATTAATTAAATGTTTACATTAATATAACAATCAATTAGAAATTATTGTTTTATTTTTAGATTTTTGTTATATAAAAAGCAGTCAAAAAATTATTGTTATAAAAATAAATTATAGAAAAATTATGTTGTTGTAGTAGTTTTGTTAAGTTTTTGTTTTTGTTTTTTTTAAAAAAAAGTAAGTAGAAAAAGAAATAAAATTATTTTTGTGAAACTAACTTTGATGCTAAATTTTCGCGTTTGAATTTTGACCCTTTGATCTATCCAGCTGGCACGACGACCACTTAACGATGGCTTTAAATTTGTTAATTTTAGTTTTTTTTTTTGTTTTAAGTTAACAAATTTAATTTGAATATTTTTTTGTTTAATTCATTTAAATCAACACAGTATAGAAGTAGTTAGAGTTTCAATTGGTGTGAAGAAGAAAAAAAAATGAATATATAAAAATATTTAATTTATATTTTTTAATTATATTTAAATTAATAGTTTAAATACAAAAAGTTTTACTTAATTAGTTTAAACAAAATTTCACTTAAAGTTAGAGCAATTCAAACAAACAAGTTGTACAAAAAACAATAAATTTTAACTAAAAAAAGCTTTTTTTTCAAGAAAGTTTTAAAGTTTAGGAAAGACTGTTAAGAGAGTAAGAAAAGTAAAGGGTTTTATAGCTTAAGTTTTTTCAAGTTTTTAAAATTTTAGTTAAAAAACCACCAATATTTTAAAGGGTTAGAAAAGGCCCAACTCGGAATATTTTTTTTTTTTTTTTGGTTTTTTTCAAAACCATTTTGTTTAAATTTAAAAAAATTATATTTAAAAAATTATAAATAAAAAACCAATAATTCAAAATTTTTAGCTTTGCTTTGTCTATTGCTAAAAACTAAATATTTCTAAAATATATTTATATAATTTTTGCTTAAACTACTTTATATTAACTACTTTTTTAAAACCAAATCAAAGCTGTTTTGTGTGTAGAGCTTAAAGCTTTTTTAACTAGAAAATACATGAATTTATTTTTGAAGTGTCACACACAAACACACACAAAATTGCCAAAATAATACGAATAGTTTTAAAATAAAATATAGTAAAAGTTTTTTAAAAAGGTACTTTTTTTAAAAAGTACCTTTTCCACAAATAACAGCAGAACAAAACTAGAAACAGAAGAATGGAACTAGAACAGATCTGAACTAGAATAGAACTAGAATCTAGTTCCATTCTAGAACTAGTACTGAACTAGCACTGAACTAGAACTGAACTAGAACTGAACTAGAACTGAACTAGAACTGAACTAGAACTGAACTAGAACTGAACTAGAACTGAACTAGAACTGAACTAGAACTGAACTAGAACTGAACTAGAACTGAACTAGAACTGAACTAGGACTGAACTAGAACTGAACTAGAACTGAACTAGAACTGAACTAGACTGAACTAGAACTGAACTAGAACTGAACTAGAACTGAACTAGAACTGAACTAGAACTGAACTAGAACTGAACTGAACTAGAACTGAACTAGAACTGAACTAGAACTGAACTAGAACTGAACTAGAACTGAACTAGAACTGAACTAGAACTGAACTAGACTGAACTAGAACTGAACTAGAACTGAACTAGAACTGAACTAGAACTGAACTAGAACTGAACTAACTGAACTGAACTAGAACTGAACTAGAACTGAACTAGAACTGAACTAGAACTGAACTAGAACTGAACTAGAACTGAACTAGAACTGAACTAGAACTGAACTAGAACTGAACTAGAACTGAACTAGAACTGAACTAGAACTGAACTAGAACTGAACTAGAACTGAACTAGAACTGAACTAGAACTGAACGAACTGAACTAGAACTGAACTAGAACTGAACTAGAACTGAACTAGAACTGAACTAGAACTGACTAGAACTGAACTAGAACTGACTAGAACTGAACTAGAACTGAACTAGAACTAGAACTGAACTAGAACTGAACTAGAACTGAACTAGAAACTGACTGAACTAGAACTGAACTAGAACTGAACTAGAACTGAACTAGAACTGAACTAGAACTGAACTAGAACTGAACTAGAACTGAACTAGAACTGAACTAGAACTGAACTAGAACTGAACTAGAACTGAACTAGAACTGAACTAGAACTGAACTAGAACTGAACTAGAACTGAACTAGAACTGAACTAGAACTGAACTAGAACTGAACTAGAACTGAACTAGAACTGAACTAGAACTGAACTAGAACTGAACTAGAACTGAACTAGAACTGAACTAGAACTGAACTAGAACTGAACTAGAACTGAACTAGAACTGAACTAGAACTGAACTAGAACTGAACTAGAACTGAACTAGAACTGAACTAGAACTGAACTAGAACTGAACTAGAACTGAACTAGAACTGAACTAGAACTGAACTAGAACTGAACTAGAACTGAACTAGAACTGAACTAGAACTGAACTAGAACTGAACTAGAACTGAACTAGAACTGAACTAGAACTGAACTAGAACTGAACTAGAACTGAACTAGAACTGAACTAGAACTGAACTAGAACTGAACTAGAACTGAACTAGAACTGAACTAGAACTGAACTAGAACTGAACTAGAACTGAAACTAGAACTGAACTAGAACTGAACTAGAACTGAACTAGAACTGAACTAGAACTGAACTAGAACTGAACTAGAACTGAACTAGAACTGAACTAGAACTGAACTAGAACTGAACTAGAACTGAACTAGAACTGAACTAGAACTGAACTAGAACTGAACTAGAACTGAACTAGAACTGAACTAGAACTGAACTAGAACTGAACTAGAACTGAACTAGAACTGAACTAGAACTGAACTAGAACTGAACTAGAACTGAAACTAGAACTGCACTAGAACTGAACTAGAACTGAACTAGAACTGAACCTAGAACTGAACTAGAACCTGAACTAGAACTGAACTAGAACTGAACTAGAACTAACTAGACTGAACTAGAACTGAACTAGAACTGAACTAGAACTGAACTAGAACTGAACTAGAACTGAACTAGAACTGAACTAGAACTGAAACTAGAACTGAACTAGAACTGAACTAGAACGAACTAGAACTGAACTAGAACTGCACTAGAACTGAAACTAAGAAACTGAACTAGAACTGAACTAGAACTGAAACTAGAACTGAACTAGAACGAACTAGAATGAACTAGAACTGAACTAGAACTGAACTAGAACTGAACTAGAACTGAACTAGAACTGAACTAGAACTGAACTAGAACTGAACTAGAACTGAACTAGAACTGAACTAGAACTGAACTAGACTGAACTAGAACTGAACTAGAACTGAACTAGAACTGACCTAGAACTGAAACTAGAACTGAACTAGAACTGAACTAGAACTGAACTAGAAACTAGAACTGAACTAGAACTGAAAGAATGAACTAGAAACTGAACTAGAACCTGAACTAGAACTGGAACTAGAACTGAAACTAGAACTGAACTAGAACTGAACTAGAACTGAACTAGAACTGAACTAGAACTGAACTAGAAACTGAACTAGAACTGAACTAGAACTGAACTAGAACTGAACTAGAACTGAAACTTAGAACTGAACTAGAAATGAACTAGAAATGAACTAGAACTGAACTAGAACTGAACTTAAGAACTGAACTAGAACTGAACTAGAATGAACTAGAACTGAACTAGAACTGAACTAGAAATGAACTCGAACTGAACTAGAACTGAACTAGAACTGAACTAGAACTGAACTAGAACTGAACTAGAACTGAACTGAACTGAACTAGAACTAGAACTAGAACTGAACTAGAACTAGAATATGGTCATTCGCACCATAATAATCTGTTTTTATACAGACTCTTTTAAAAAACTTTACTTAATTTCTTTTGATTATTTTTATTTTTATAATTTGAACGTATGATAATTAAGTATATAAAATGATTTTCTGATATTTTATGAAAATTTTTGTAATTAACTATTTCAATACGGAAAGCAACAAATCTAATAAAGGTGGCATTTTATATAGGAAAATCAAAGACAAAGCAATAAAGTACCAAATTCAACATAAATAAACTTAAAAGCAACTTTCTATTAATAAAAATTATTATATAAAACTGAATATATATTTCCGAATTAGGTCTATGGTAGAGAAAATAGGTTAAGTTCGAAAATGAGTAAATGCTTGAAATAATAACTTAAAGAAGGTAGAAAAAACTAAATTTAAAGTTGAAAAATGAAGTGATTAAAGGTGATAGAAAGAAATCATAGAATAGAGCTGAGAATTTAAAGAAGGTGAACATTTTTCATAGGTGGCAGGTGATACATGAGAGCGAGTTTAATAGAGATAGATTTCATATTGAAAGGTTTAAGGTATTCGACATTTTTTTTGATTTTGAAATAACAAACATTTAAATAATACGTTTATATATAAAAAGGAGACATAATCAGTTTTTTTAGATAGAATAGCGTAATAGTTCTTAAGACAGAGACATACATGTAATAAAATTTAGGTAGAAAGTTTATATTTTTTTAAATTGTTTAGAAATAGTCACACATAATCGTTGCATGGGTTTTTTGTATTTTTTTTTTTCTCAAATTTTCAATATTTAAACATTTAAAAATTTATTTCAATAAAAACATAAAACATAATATTTAACAGAAAATATTTAACATCAAATATTTATCTAAAAGTTAAAAAGTAAAAGTTTCAATAAATCATGTAAAATGTTCAAACACAAAAAATAACACGCACTCGCAGCAAGGCACGCCATTAAAATTTTAAAGAATGATAAAAATTTTAAAAAATAAAAATGGTAAAAAAATATTAAAAAAGTGTGTGTTTTTTAAAATGTTTATTTTTTAAAACCATTTAATTTAAGAACCTCGAAAACTAGAACTAGAACAGAACTAGAACAGAACTAGAACAGAACTAGAACAGAACTAGAACTAGAACAGAACTAGAACAGAACAGAACTAGAAAAGAACTAGAACAGAACAGAACTAGAACAGAACAGAACTAGAACAGAACAGAACTAGAACAGAACTAGAACAGAACTAGAACAGAACAGAACTAGAAACTAGAACAGAACTAGAACAGAACTGAACAGAACTAGAACAGAACTAGAACAGAACTAGAACAGAACTAGAACAGACTAGAACAGAACTAGAACAGAACTAGAACAGAACTAGAACAGACTAGAACAGAACTAGAACAGAACTAGAACAGAACTAGAACAGAACTAGAACAGAACTAGAACAGAACTAGAACAGAACTAGAACAGAACTAGAACAGAACTAGAACAGAACTAGAA